ACACAAGAACAGAAAATGAAACACCGCATATTCTCACTCATAGGTGGGTGATGAAAAATGAGAACACATGGACACAGAAAGGGGAGTACTAAACACTGGGGTCTATTGGGGGGAAAAGGGGAGGGCCAGTGGGAGGGGGTGGTGGGGAGGGATAGCCTGGGGAGAAATGTCAAATGTGGGTGAAGGGGAGAAGAAAAGCAAAGCACACTGCCATGTGTGTACCTACGCAACAGTCTTGCATGCTCTGCTCATGTACCCCAAAACCTAAAATCCAATAAAAAATTTAAAAAAATAAAAAATAAAAAAAATAAAGTTACAATGATGTTTATTAGTCTTCTCACACTTCTGGAGGCTGACTAGACTCACTTGGGCAGTTCTGGCTCAGGATGTGTTGTCTTCAAACAATATGGAGTTAGAATAGTGTCAAAGGTTTCCTTGCTCAAATATCTCCTGGTTAATGTGCACTGTCAGCCAGGGCTTAGCCAGGGCTGCCTGGTGGAATACCCACACAGAACCTCCCTACGTGGCCTGGGCTTTCTCATAAAATGGTTAATGGCATGCCCTATGTGCACACCTCCCAGGAAGGAGAGCCAAGTGGAAACAGTATCATCTTTTAAGACCTAACTTGGGCAGGTCATGAGCAGCACTTCTACCATATTCTACTTACAGAAGCAGGGGTCAAGGCTCATTTCCAAGGGAAGAGAAACTGAATTCTATCTCTCCATGACAAGTGCAAAAAACATTGCAGACAACTATTCACAATAGTGAAGAGATGGAATCAACCTAAGTTTCCTTCCATCAATAGAAAAAAGAATAAAGAAAATGTGGCAGCCACGTGTGGTGGCTCACACCTGTAATTTTGGCAATTTGGGAGGCCAAGGTGGGCAGATCACCTGAGGTTAGGAATTTGAGACCAGACTGGCAAACATGGTGAAACCTGTCTCTACTAAAAATACAAAAATTAGCAGGATGTGGTGGTGCACACCTGCAATTCCAGCTACTTTGGGAGGCTGAGGCAGGAGAATTGCTTGACCTTGGGAGGCAAGGGTTGCAGTGAGCTGAGATTGCACCACTGCACTCCAGGCTAGGTGACAGAGTGAGACTCCATCTCAAAAAAAAAAAAAAAATCAAAGTGAATCAGAAAATAAAAGAACTATATTAAAGCAACTGAAAAAATCATAAAAATTAGAGTTAGTAGTCTAACACTACTATCAATAGTAGTGTTATCAATAGGTGACCCTGAGTTAGAGAACCTACAAAAAAGCAGCGCTGGGCATGGTGGCTTGCACATATAATCCCAGTGCTTTAGAAGGCTAAATTGGGAGAATAGCATGAGGCCAGGAGTTCCAGAAAAGCCTGGGCAAAATAGCAATACCCCATCTCTAGAAAAGTAACAAAAACTAGCCAGGTGTGGTGGTGCACATGTGCAGTCATAACTATGAGGGAGGCTGAGGCAGGAAGATTTTTTAAGCCCAGAAGTTTAAGGCTGCAGTAAGCTATGATTACACCATTTTCTTCTAGAACCTGGGTGACAGAGCAAGGCATTGTCTTGAAAGAAAGGAAGAAATGTAAGAATGGAAGGAGGAAGGGAAGGAGGAAGGGATGGAGGGAGGGAGGGAGGGAGGAAGGAGGGAAGGAATGGAGGGAGGAAGGAGGAAAGGAATGGAGGGAGGGAGGGAAGAAGGGAGGAAGGGAGAGAGAGTGAAAAAGAAAGAAGGAAAGGAAGGAATGCAGAGATAGAGAAGCACATAATCAGAAGTAAAAGGGCACACCATATACCTGGAAAAACTAATACAGAATGACTGACCTAGAGCCAACCCTGGCTAAGCTACTGAACTTCAATGATTAAAAAAAAAAAAAAAAAAAAAAGTACTCCACTGGCATGTCAGCAGGAAAATATAACACATATGTGAGAAGAACCTCCAGCCAGCCTCAGACCTTTTCATAGCCCCAGCCAGAACCAGATGACAGTAGAGTCAGAACTTAAAGAACTAAAAAAAAAAAAATCAAGAATATTCTTCCAAGAAAGATGTCATCCAAGTATACAAGCATTAAACAGAAACTATCAAACCAATTTTAAAAATACAGCAGCTGTGGGTGAAGATAGAAACTACAGATTAAAAAGAATCATAACACGTTTATCTTTTTCATAATTTTAATGAATGTTGAATGAAAAGATATCAGTTGCACATAGGCATTTATCTGAAATTCAGAAATTCTCCCACCTTACTTTAGTTTCTTCAGCTTCTGTTGTATCAGGCAAATGAAACTTATATATATTTAAACTAAACACAAACAAAATATATAGTTATTTTTCATCAATTTATCTATTCATCTAACTACCTATTTGCACAAAAAGAGTTTTGAATTAATTATCACCTTTTTTTTTTGTGAGACAGAGTCTCACTCTGTCACCCAGGCTGGAGTGGAATGGTACAATTTCAGCCCACTGCAACCTCTGCTTCCTGGGATCAAGTGGTTTTTGTCCCTCAGCCTCTCGAGTAGTTGGGGTTACAGGTGCCCACCGTGATGCCTGGATAATTTTGGAATTTTTAGTAGAGACAGTGTTTCACCATGTTGGCCAGGCTGGCCTCAAACTCCTGACTTCAAGTGATCCACCCACCTCGGCCTCCCAAACTCCTGAGATTGCAGGCATGAGATATAGTGCCCGGCCTTATCATCTAATGTTAAGTGTTATTTCTTGGTAATTGAAAATTTCATGGTTCTCTCTCTCTCTCTCTCTCTCTCTCTCTCTCTCTCAACAGGGTCTCACTTTGTTTCCCAGGCTGAAGTCTCAAACACCTTGGTTCTAGTGATCCATCTTCCTCAGCCTCCCAAGTAGCTGGGACTGCGGGTGCTCATGACCATAACTGGTTTATAATTTTTTATAGATATGGGATCTTGCTATGTTGTTCATGCTGATTTCCAACTCGAGTTCAACTGATCTGCCTGCTTCAGCCTCCCAAACTGTTGGAATTACAGGCTTGAGCCACCATGCCCAGCCTCTTTGCACTTTTCTATAGAACTTAATTTCTTTATAATAATTACAAATAACTTTTATAAAAGCCATTGTTATTCTAAACTTTTCAAAATTAAGCAGTAATTAAGAATGAGCTACAGAAAGTAGTATTTATTCAGCATCTATTATATATAAGATATTTTGCATACAGTGGACCACCTAATTGACATATCAAGGCAGGAATTATTATCTTTATTTTCTGGGAGAGAAAACTGACACAATTATTTCTTAACTCTGAAGTTACACAGCTGCTGCCAAAACAAGTGCCCGCCCTAACAGCCTACCCCTTCTGGTTTTATTAAATTCAACCCCCACTTCTACCTCCACAGCTGTGTACAAGAATGTATGCGTGCACACACACATACACACACACACTTCTGCAATATTTCATCTGCCTAGGCAAGGAACTTGTCATGACAAACCAAATGCAATAACTATTTTCTTACAAAAGCTGTTATTCCATATCTCTAAGATTTGGGAAATAGTTTCTGATTCCACACCGATGAGGGCCACAATGAGGTTTCAAAAGAAGTAATAATCACAAGGCATCCTAATGAATGCAAAAGGGTATGAAGTTCAGATATATCCAGCTTTTGAGATGCTCTGCTGGAAGGTTGTTGAGCTGCAAAGTACTATTGACTCATGATCATCTTGGTCCATGGTCATTAATAATGATACTTTGTAATTCTTTCATATTTGTGCTAAGGGTCATTTCAAAAGCTGGAAGAAGCTTATCAATTTCTGGGTATGCAAATATCTCTCACAATGTTTATGGTGGGTGTGTGTACATGCTATGAAAAGATATACACACAAATATTTACATATAAATATATACACACATATCTACATATATGTCTATAGTACACTAATTAAAAGGTAAATTCTTAATGATCCATAAAAAGAAAATGGTAGACCAGGTGTAGTGCCTCACACTTGTAATCCCAGCACAGCAGGAGGTTGAGTGGGGAGAATCACTTGAGCCCAAGAGTTTGAAACTGGCCCAGGAAACATGGTGAGACCCCATCTCTACACAAATATAAAAATTAGATTGGCATGGCAGCTCTTCCAGCTACTCAGGAGGCCAAGGTGGAGTCGCAGTGAGCCGAGATCACACCACTGCACTTCAGCCTGAATGACAAAGCAGTAACTTGTCTCAAAAAAGAAAGAAAAAATTGATATCCCATAAAACTTAAAAATATCTATATATTCACAAATGTATATAATCATAGTATATTAATCAAAAAGTAAATTCTTAGTAGTTTATGGCAAGCAAAGAACAGGCCATGGATGATGGTTCATGTTTGTAATCTCAGCACTTTGAGAGGCCCAGGAAAGAGGATTATTTGTGTCCAAAAGTTTAAGACCAGCCTACCTGATGGCTGAAACCCCGTCTATATTAATAATACAAAAATTAGCCGGTCTTGGTGGCATGCACCTATAATCCCAGCTACTCAGGAGGCTGAGGTAGGAGAATCACTTGAACTCAGGAGGCTGAGGTAGGAGAATCACTTGAACTCAGGAGGCCAAGGCTGCAGTGAGCTGAGATCCTGCCACTGCACTCTATACTGGGCAACTGAGTGAGACTCCGTTGCAACAAAATAAAAAAAGACCACCCTAAGCAACAGAGTGAGAACCAACCTCTCAAACCAAATCAGAAATTAGTCAGAAATGGCAACATCTGCCTGTAGTCCCAGCTACTGAAGATGATGACTGGGGAAAATCAGTGGAGGCCAAAAGGCCAAGGCTGCAGTGGAGCCATGATCACATGATGACACCCAAGCCTGGTGACAGAGCAAGAGGATAAAAAAAAAGTTAACAGTAAAAAATATAAAAAAGAAGACATGAAATGAGCAACTACCATGTCCAGGGCAAAGACAAACAGCCAAAGCAGAGGCCCATTTGGCTCTGAACCCCCAGAAGACAAGAAAAACAATGAGACATTAAATAAAACAGACCACACTGTAAAATGACATAGGCAGAATTTACTATAAATCAGTCAGAAATACACTTTCAAGATTAAAAGGAGACATAGGCATTTAGTCTAGGCACACTGCTAGGAACTAAACACATGAGAGTCCAGGGAAGCTTTGGGATTCTAGATGCAGTTGAAAATCAAAGACATATATAGCTGGCTCGAGAAGAGTCCATTATAACGCAAGTGCACTGCAGAAAAAGTCACCATGAGAGGAGATGAGACTTGAGTGTCCATTAAGAGGCAAAAGAAAAGCCTGAAGAGGCCATCGTGAGGCAGGAACTGAGGTAAAAAAAGTCCATGGCAAAACAGAAGTTGCATCTTCAGAGGCAGACGTGACTAAGGAGATGGTCTTGGAAACGCCAGTGTGTACAAAAGAAATACCTGCCAAAAGGGTTGAAAAACAGGTATTAAATAAGTCTCAGAAGGCCCACAAGAGATAATAGCTAGGCTTTAATAGACTGCTTTGAGGAAAGCGCTGTGTCTGTCTGGACCACCAGGAGCCTGAAGGAGGGCCTGAAAAGTCCATTTGAGGAAGGCTGAGGTGTACAGAAGTTACCGAGAGGTGGGAAGAAGCTGGGCCTATGATGCTTCTTGCAAGGAAAGCCTGGGGCTTCCAGACACAGCAGGGCCAAAAGAGGCCGACCTGAAGACATTCTGGAAACAGAGAGGATGCCAGAAGGCCAACGCTGGGCCCGGGAGGGCCACCGGGAGGCACCAGCTTGGTCCGAAGGAGCCATGGGAAGGCCGGGGGCAGGCCTGAGAATAAAGGCTGGCCCAGAGGATGGAGCTGGGCCTCAGCAGAGGCCACGGTGATGCTACGAGCTGGGTCTGGAGGGTCCACTGAAAGGTGGAGGCTGGGCTCGGAGGGGCCTGGCACAGGCAGGAGCTGGGCCTGGTGAGGCCAGGCCCAGAGAGGAAGCTTAAGGCCTGGAGAAGCCACCAAGAAGCAGGAGCTGCCCGGGAGAGTCCGTGATAGGCGAGTTGTGCTGAAGAAGGCCACTGCGAGGGAGGACCTGGGCCTAGACTCGAGGCCAGTGTGAGGTGAAAGCTGGGTCTGGAGAGGTTTGTCACAGGCATGAGCTGGGCCTCAATGGGACAGTGTGAGGGAGGTGCTGGGCCTGTGGATGCAGCCGGGATGCAGGCAGGCAGGCAGAATCTTGGCCTGGGGAAGCCGCGAGCAGGCAGCAACTGGTGCTGGGGTGGCTGTGGGAAGTCCAGAGCTGGGCCTGGAGCAGCCAATGTCAGGAGATAGCAGGGTCTGTCAAGGCCACCAGGAGGCAGAATAGAGGCCTGGAAAGCCCCACTTGATAACACTTTGGGCCGACAGAGGAAAGACCACTAAAAGCTGGCAGAAAGCTGAGGCAAAAGAAACTGCCGGGAGGCAGGACATGGGCCGGTAGACATGGCCAGAAGGAGGATCCAGGCCTGGGGAGGCCGCTAAAGGGGAAGCATAGGCTGGACCTCCCGGAGAGGCTGAGGAAAGGCAGGAGCTGGGCCCCAGGGGGCCGTTGGGAGGCAGAAGCTGGCCCTGGAGGGGCCCACATGAGGATGTTTTGCACCCATGGGGAGGAGACACCAGGAGGGCAACATCTGGGCCAGGAGAGGCCGACTTCAGGACTCAATGCTTGGGCCTGCAGAGGCCAGCAGGAGGAGGCCAGAGCCGGGCCGGCAGAAGCTGACTCGGAAACGTTTGGGGCCTGGAGGCACCCTGGGAGGGCAGGAGCAAAGCCTGGAGAGGCCAGTGTGAGGCATGAGCTGGGAGGGCCTGGAAAGCCTGAGTCAATGGCCTGAGCTTTAGGGCCTACAAAGGCCACCAGGAGCTGGGTAGGAGCCGAGTCCACAGAAATTGCTGTGAGGTCAGGCCAAAAGGTGGGCCTGTAGATGCCACCAGCAGGAGAAGCTGGGCCCCGAGAGTCTGACCTGAAGACATTCTGGACATGGAGAGGGTGCAGGAAGGCCAACACTGGGCCTGGGAGGTCCACCAGGAGGCACTGGCTTGGCCCAAGAGGGCCAGAGGGAGGCCATGGGATGGGCCTGTGGAAACAGGCTGCCACAGAGGCAGGAGCTGGGCTGAGCAGATGCCATGCTGAGGCCACTAGATGGATCTGGAGGGTCCACTGAGAGGTGGAGGCTGGGCCCAGAGTAGCCTGGCACAGGAAGGAGTCGGGCCTGGAAAGGCTGGGCCTGGAGAGGAAGCTTCGGGCCTGGACAGGCTGATGGGAGGCAGGAGCTGGCCTGGGAGAGTCCGTGAAAGGCAAGCTGGGCCAAGAAAGTCCGGTGCAAGTGAGGACCTGGGCACAGATTCGTGGCTAGCGCCAGGCGAGAGCTGGGTCCAAGACGTCTGCCAGAGGCATGAGCTGGGCCTCAGCTGGCCAGTGTGAGGGAGGCACTGAACCTGTGGACACAGCTGGGAGGCAGACAGGATCTTGGCTTGGCAAAGCTGCCAGCAGAGAGTGGCTGTTGCTGGAAAGGCGATAAGGAGGCCAGAGCTGGGCCTGGAGAGACCACTGTAAGGAGGTAGCTGGGCCTGTGGAGGCCACTGAGAAGCAGAAGGGATGCCCCAAAAGTTCCAAGGAAGCTTTGGGCTGAAAACAAAAGGCTGCAGGAAGCTGGCCAAAAGCAGAGCCAAAGGAGTCTTCTGGGAGGCAAAACATGGGACCATAGACGTGGCCAGGAAGAGGATCCAGGCATGGGAAGGCTGCCAGTAGTGAAGAAGAGGTTGGGCCTCCCAGAGAGGCCGACGGAAGACCAAAACTAGGCCCCAGAGGGCCGTTGGGAGGTAGGAGCTGGCCTTGAAGGGGCCCACATGATGATGTTTTAAGCCCATGGGGAGGAGACACCAGGTGGGTAGGAGCTGGGCCTGGAGAGGCCGACTTCAGGACCCAATGCTTGGGCCTGCCAAGGCTAATAGGAGGAAACCGGTGCCGGGCCATCAGAAGCCATCTTGAAGACGTTTGGGACCTGGAGGTGCCCAGGGAGGGCAGGAGCCAAGCCTGGAGAGACCAGTGTGGGGCATCAGCCAGGTGGGCATGGAGAGCCTGAGTCGATGGTTAGAGCTTTCAGGACTACAAAGGCTGTTAGGAGCTGGGCAGGAGCCGAGTCTACAGAGGTTGTTGCGAGGCAAATTTAGAAGTTGGGCCCATAGATGCCACTGAGAGGTGGAGCTGGGCCCTGAGAGGCCTACCTGAAGACATTCTGGGCCCAGAAAGAATGTCAGCAGGCCAATGCTAAGCCTGGGAGGACCACCCGGATGCACTGGCTTGGCCCGATGGGGCCATGGGGAGGCCAGGGGCAGGGCCTGTGGATACAGGCTGCCAAATAGGAAAAAGCTAGGCCTGAGCAGAGGCCCCAGTGGTGTCATGAGCTTGGCCTAGAGGGTCCACTGAAAGGTGGAGACTGGGCCCGGAGGGGCCTGGCGAAGGCAGAAGACAGGCCTGGGGAGGCCAGGCCCAGAGAGGAAGCTTCAGGCCTGGACAGGTGGCCGGGAGTCAGGAGCTAGCCCAGGAGAGACTGCAATAGGCGAGCTAGGCTGAGGAAGCCACTGCGAGGGATGACATGGGCCTGGACCGAGGCCAGCGTGAGGTGAGAGCTGGGTCTGGAGAGGTTTTCTACAGGCATGGACTGGGCCCCAATGGGCCAGTGTGAGGGAGGTGCTGGGCCTTTGGAGGCAGGATGCAGGCAGGAAGGCAGGCAGGTTCTTGGCCTGGGTAAGCCACCAGCAGGCAGCAGCTGGTGCTGGGAGGGCTGTGGGGAGTCCAGAGCTGGGTCCGGAGGGAACAATGTCAGATGGTAGCAGGGGCTGCCAAAGCCACTGGGAGGCAGAACAAAGGCCCAGAAAGCCCCACTGAAAAACGCTTCGGGCCGAGAGATGAAAGGCCACTGGAAGCTGGCCAGGGGCCAAGCCAAAAGAAGCTATGGGGAGGCAGGACGTGGGCCAGAAGACAGGGCCAGGAGAAGGATACAGGTCTGGGGAGTCCACCAGAAAGGAGACATAGGCTGGACCTCCCAGAGAGGCTGACAAAAGGCAGGAGCTGGGCCCAGGGGGCCTTTGGGAGGCAGGATCTGGCCCTGGTGGGGCCCACCTGACAATATTGTGCGCCCATGGGGAGGAGACGCCAGGAGAACTGGAGCTGGGCCTGGAGAGGCTAAATTCAGGGCCCAATGCTTGGGGATGCCACGTTCGATAGGAGAAGGCCAGAGCTGGGCCTGGGGAAGCTGACTCGGGGACACCTGGGGCCTATAGGTGCCCTAAGAGGGCAGAAGCTGAGCCTGGAGAGGCCAGCGTGAGGCATGAGCCGGGTAGTCCTGGAGAGCCTGAGTCGAGGGCCTGAGCTTTCGGGCCTACAAACGCCTCCGGGAGCTGGGGAGGAGCCAAGTCCACAGAGGTTACTGTGAGGCGAGACAGGAAGGTTGGCCCTTAGAAGCCACCAGAAGGAGAAACTGGGCCCCAAGAGGCTGACCTGAAGACATTCTGGATAAGGAGAGGATGCCAGAAAGCCAATGCTGGGCATGGGAGGGCCACCTGGGGACACCGATTTGGCCCGAGGGAGCCACTGGGAGGCCAGGAGCTGGGCCTGTGGAGATAGGCTGCTACAGAGGCAGGAACTGGGCTGAGCGGAGGCCACGAGATGGGTCTGGAGGGTCCACTGAGAGGCGGAGGCTGGGCCCGGAGGGGCCTAGAGCAGGCAGGAGCCAGGCCTGGAGAGGCCGGGCCTGGAGAAAAAGCTTCAGGCCTGTATAGGCCGCTGGGAGGCAGGAGCTGGCCGGAGAGTTTATGAGAGGCAAGCTGGGCTGAAAAACACCAGTGCAAGGGAGGACCTGGGCCCAGACTCAAGGCCAGCAACAGGCGAGAGCTGGGTCCAGAGACATCTGCTAGAGGCCAAGCTGGGCGTCAACTGACCAGTGTGAGGGAGGCGCTGGGTTTGTCGATGCAGCCGGGAGGTAGGCAGGATCTTGGCCTGGGGAAGCAACCGGCAGACAGTGGATGGTGCTGGGGGTGCTGTAGGGAGGCCAGAACTGGGCATGGAGAGGCCAATGTCAGGATGTAGCTGGGCCTGTGAAGGCCAATGGGAGGCAGAAGGGACACCCCAAAAGCCCTGAGGAAGCTTCGGGCTGACAGATGAAAGGCCGTCGGGAGCTGGCCAGGAGCTGAGCCAAAAGAGGCTGCCGGGGGCAAAATGTCGGCTGGTAGATGCAGCCAGGAGGACGATCCAAGTGTGCAGAGGGTGCCAGTAGGGAGGCAGAGGCTGGGCCTCCCTGAGCAGCTGATGGAAGGCAGGAGCTGTGTCCCAGGGGCCACTGGGAGGCAGGAGCTTTCCCTGGAGGGGCCCACGAGACAACATATTGCGCCCATATTGGGGGGCCGCTGGGAAGGCAGAAGCTGGGCCTGCAGAGATGGACTTCAGGACCCAATGCTTGGGCCTCCCGAGGCCAGCAGGATGAGGCAGCAGGAGCTAGGCCAGCAGAAGCCAACTCAGGAACATCTGGGGCCTGGAGATGCCCTGGGAGGGCAGGAGCCGAGCCTGGAGAGGCCAGCATTGAGACTGAGCTGGGTGGGTCTGGAGAGCCTGAGTTGAGGGCCTGAGCTTTTGGGCCTATAAAGGACACCAGGAGCTGGGGAAGAACCGAGTCCCCAGACATTGCTGTGAGGCAAATTCAAATGTTGAGCCCGTAGACACGGCCGAGAGGAGGAGCTAGGCCTCGAAAGGCCTACCTGAAGATTTTCTGGGCCCGGAGAGGATGCCAGCAGGCCAATGCTGGGCCCAGGAGGGCCACCGGGAGGCACCGGCTTGGCCTGATGGGGCCATGGGGAGCCTGGGTGCAGGGCCTGTGGATGCAGGCTGCCACAGAGGCAGGAGCTGGGCCTGAGCAGAGGCCACGGTGATGCCAAGCTGGGAGGACCCCCAAGTGGAGGGTCCACTGAAAGGTGGAGGCTGGGCCCAGTATGGGCCTGGAGCAGGCAGGAGCTGGGCCTGGGGAGGCTGGGCCTGGAGAGGAAGCTTTGGGCCTGGACAGGCCACCGGGAGGCAGGATCTGGCCCAGGAGAGTCCGTGATAGGCGAGCTGTGCTGAGGAAGACCCCTGTGAGGGAGTGCCTGGGCCTAGACTCAAGGCAAGAGTGAGGTGAGAGCTGGGTCCAGAGAGGTTTGCCACAGGCACGAGCTGGGCCCCAGTGGGCCAGTGTGAGGAAAAGGTGCTGGGCCTGTGGATGCAGCCAGAATGCAGGCAGGAAGGCAGGCAGGCAGGCAGGCAGGCAGGCAGGCAGGCAGGCAGGCAGGCAGGCAGAATCTTGGTCTGGGGAAGCCACCAGCAGGCAGCAGCTGGTGCTGGGGAGGCTGCATAGAGTCCAGAGTGGGGCCCAGAGGGAACAATGTCAGGTGGTAGCAGGGCCTGTCAAGGCCACCAGGAGGCAGTACGGAGGCCCAGAAAGCCCCACTTGAGAAAGCTTCAGGCCTACAGAAGAAAGGTCACTGGAAACTGGTCAGGAGCCGAGCAAAAAGCAGCTGTCAGGAGGCAGAACATGGTCTAGCAGACGAGGCCAGGAGGAGGATCTGGGCCTGGGGAGGCCGCCAGAAGGGAGGCATAGGCTGGACCTCCGGAAGAGGCTGAGGGGAGGCAGAAGCTGGGCACCAGGAGGCCATTGGAAGGCAGCAGCTGGCCCTGGAGGCGCCCATGTGAAGATGTTTTGCACCCATGGGGAGGAGACACCAGAAGAACAGGAGCTGGGCCTGGAGAGGCCGACTTCAGGACCCAATTCTTGGGCCTCTGGAGGCCAGGAGGAGGAGGCAGCAGGAGCCAGGGTGGCAGAAGCTGACTCGGGAACGTCTGGGGCCTGGAGATGCCCTCAGAGGGCAGGAGCCGAGCCTGGAGAGGCCACTCATGAGGCATGAGCCGGGTGGGCCTGGAGAGCCTGAGTCGATGGTCTGAGCTTTTGGGCCTACAAAAGCTGTCGGGAGCTGGATAGGAGTTGAGTCCACAGAGGTTGTTTTGAGGCAAATTCAAAAGTTGGGCCCGTAGACGCCGCCAAGAGGTGGAGCTGGGCCCTGAGAGGCCTACCTGAAGATGTTCTGGGCCCAGAGAGGAAGTCAGCAGGCCAATGCTGGGCCCGGGAGGACCACCAGGATGCACCAGCTTGACCCGATGGGGCCATGGGGAGGCTGGGGGCGGGACCTGTGGAAACAGGCTGTCACAGAGGCAGGAGCTGAACCTGAGCAGAGGCCACAGTGAGGCCACAAGCTTGGCCTGAAGGGACCACTGAAAGGTGAAGTCTGGGCCCGGAGGGGACTGCTGGTGCAGGCAGAAGCCGGGCCTGGGGAGGCCGGGCCCGGAGAGGAACCTTTGGGCCTGGACAGGCCGCCAAGAGTCAGGAGCTGGCCTGGGAGAGACGGTGATAGGCGAGCTAAGCTGAGGAAGGCCGCTGCCAGGGAGGACCTGGGCCTAGACCACGGCCAGCGTGAGGTGAGAGCTGGGTCCAGAGAGGTTTGCCACAGGCACGGGCTGGGCCCCAATGGCCACTGTGAGGGAGGTAGTGGGCCTGTGGAGGCAGGATGCAGGCAGGAAGGCAGTCAGGATCTTGGCCTGGGGAAGCTGTTGGCAGGTAGCAGCTCGTCCTGGGGAGGCAGCGGGGATGGCAGATCTGGCCCCGGAGAGGATATTGTCAGGTGGTAGCTCGGCCTGTCCAGGCCACCGGGAGCTGGTCAGGAGCCGAGTCAAAAGAGGCTGTCGGGAGGCAGGACACGGGCCTGTAGACATGGCCAGGAGTAGGAGCCAAGCCTGAGGATGCCGCCAGGAGTGATCAGAGGCTGGGTCTCCTGGGGAGGCTGACGGGGTCCAAGGGGGCCACTGGGAGGAGCTGGCCCAGAAGGGGCCCACATGAGGAAGTTTTGAGCCTGGAGAGCCCACCTAGTGGGTAGGAGCTTGGCCTAATGAAGTCC